GCCAGCTCCTGCGTTACACCGTCTGCAAGCTGCAGGTGCTCAACGGCACGGTGGCTTCACTCACCGGCAGCTTCCTGGAGGGCTCCAGCAGCTACCTCCACTCCACTGCTAGCCACTTGGAAGACAAGCTGAGCACAAAGAGGGGTGTGGATGAACGCCTCCTGAGGGCTCTGGGACAACTAGAGAGCCTGGCGAGTGGCCACAGTGACCCTGGGGCACAGGGTCTACCCTTGTGTTCTGAGGACAGTGGCATTGGTGTCGACAATGAGTCCTCGCTGCCCACGGACAAGGTGGGCAGGCAAGCCAGCTGTGACTTTGTACCGGAGCCTGTAGACTGGAACCCGGGGATCTCACCCCAAATGGAGGACAGGCTGTTGGAACATGCCCAGCAGCAACATGCATTCCAGGTAGATTCGGACAGAGCCTTGAGCTGCCCACTCTCTAGCCGACCTGTGGCAAAGGTTCAGACAGCGGCACAAGGTGAAGCAAGGAGCCCGTGCTCCTCCTGCCCAGGCCCAGAAAATAAGACCTCTAGGACTTTGGAGCCAGGCAAAAGCACTTTGTGTGAGTCCCTTGGGATTGGGGTCCCCGCAGAGACGTATCTTCTTAAAGGTTCTAGGCTGTTAGGGTCTTCATCTGTGAGCGACGAGGACAGCAGCCCAGAGGAGGAGGGAGATGAAATTAGCAGCATGAGTCCACGCTCATGGCAGGAAACAGCTCCACAGTCAAGGCCGTGGACTTCTCCTGCGGACCCAGAAAGCCTATTTCAGCCAGGCTCCAGAAGGCTTAGGAGCCCCCAGGCCCAGGAGATGATTCTAAAGATGAAGGAGGCAATCAGCAAGAGGATCAAGTTTGTCCCTTTGCCCTCTGGGTACCAGGACTGGGCTGAGGAGGAGGAGGGGAGGACAGTGGTCCCCCCCAGACCTAGCACCATTAGTGGCAGCAGAAGGGCCCCTGAGAGGCAAAGGAGGTCCCAGTCAGAAGGCTGTCTTAAGAGCGACATGGAGGACCCCACCCTACAGGAGCTGCAAAGGGCCCAGAGAGAACTCACTCAGAGGCTGGAGGCCTTGTACGCCCTGGGTACCAAATGGCAGGGTCACAGCAAGGAAGAACTCCCACAGCCCCGAGCAGCAGCTCTGTGTTCCCACACCAACTGCAAGGTCAGCCCTGCCAACCCCATCAGCAAGCTCAAGGCATCCCTCACCAAGAACTTCAGCATCCTGCCTAGTCAGGATAAGAACATTTTGCGGAAATGCAGTCCCCACCCTGAGGGGGAGCAGACCTGGCAGGAGAAGGCTGAGAAGCCCCCAAATGCCATCTCATCAGCTGAGAAGGACAGTCTGGATCCTGAGCCCAAGGACTGGAATGTCAGGGGCTGTCCCACCAGAACATCAGTCAGGAGACTGATTGAAACTTTCAGTCCCACTGACAGTCCAAGGACGCTGGAGGATTCCAAAAACTCTGGGTCAAGCCCTTGCCTCAAGAGGTGGGGCGTCCCCATCATGCCTCCCAGATTTCCCATTTACAGGGGGCTTGCCCCGTTGTATCCTAAGCCCCAAATTTCCCCAATGGGAGGTGGAGACTCTCCCAAAGTGGGCACAGGCTGGAGGCCCTTCATGCCTATCCTCCCCCCTCTTTTCAGGGCACAAGCCTATAAAAGTGGGGTCAGCTGCGAGGAGGACCCAGAGCAGCTTCCCCCACCACCTCTGGAAATCCTGATGGACAAATCATTCACTTCCCTTGTGCCCCCAGAAGGCAGTGAGCCAGTGGGGAGCTCTCCTGAAGAGACCCATGTACCAGGGCAGGGAGTGACAGGACCTGCCAGGACAACGTGGGCTTCTCCAAAGCTGCGAGCCTCCATGAGCCCCATGGACTTGCTTCCAAGCAAAAGCGCTGCCACCCCCACCCGGACCCGCAGCACCGGGCCGGGGAGCAGCAGGAGCACCTGCAAGCCCAGAAAGCCTGGCCTGGACCCGAACCACCCAGCCGCAACAGCCCCGAGCCCAGAGGAGGGGAACGGGGCCCAGAGCCCGGGGAGAGCAGAGAAGGCCGTCAGCTTTCACAAGCCTGCGCGGAGGGCAAGCTCCTGGCACCACTCCAGCGCCACATCTGGGCCAAACAGGACCTCAGAATCCAGCCTGGCCAGACCCGCACGAGGGCCACCTTCTCCGGAGGCCTCAAAGCAGAGCCGAGAGAGAAGCCCCCCGGTGGTCAGGAAGGCACATTGGGTGCCCCAAGCAGACAAGAGGTCCCCAGGTCTGCCCACCTCCCCCAGATCTGCTCCGCCCAGTCTCCCCACTGCACACAGGCCCCCCAGCCCACCGCTCAGCTCCGGGCCTTCCAGTCCCCCAGCAAGCCCCAGAGTGCTGAGCCCGCCTACAGCAAAGACGCGAACTTCCCCACCGCCCCCGCCCCCGGTGACCCCGCTGGCTCAGGGCAAGGTTTCCAGTACCCCTACACAGCCCACAGGGGCAAGCTCCCCTTCCTCTGTCCCCTCGGCATCCCCCCCAGTGTCCCCCTCCCGGGCGCGCAAGGAGATAAGAGATTCTGCAGACTGCCTCGCCAGCGCAGCCAAAATATCTGGGAATACCTGTTCCATTTTCTGCCCGGCCTCCCCCTCTCTGTTTGAAGCGAAATCGCCATTCTCCACGCTGACCTTGCCAACGCTGCCACCAGAGGCTGGGGACCCTGTTGGGAGCCCAGCAGGATGCTGGAGGAGCAACTCAGGACCCCGACTGAGGGCGGATTCACAGAGGAGAATGGCTCTGTGTGCCCTCAACCCTCTGCCTTTCGTCAGAAGGACAGCTTCAGACCGCCGGCCGGGGTTCCGACCTGTCTGCAGCCGCGCCAGCACCTCGTGTGACGCCCAGCTCAGCCAGAGCAGGTAAGGAGGGTCTTCAGCTGCCCTCTCATTGCTTTGAGTAGAGGACCAGAGGAAATTGGTCCTTAGTATCATCCGGGTCAGCAGTGTTCAAACTGAGCTCTGGGAGAACAGTCATCCAATCAATCAATCAATCAATCAATGTTAAATAAGTGAGGAGGAAGGGGGGTTCCAGCCTCCCTTCAACCTTGAGTGCCTGTGTTTTTATCTGTTACACATTTCAGCTTCCTAAGAAAGATTATCAGTGAAAAAAAAGCTCTTCTGTGTTAAAAAAATAATAATAAAGTTAAGCCAACCCTACAGCTGTTATATACAGGTAGGGAAACAAGTAAACGACCTGCTCCTAAGGTTGGCTCACCTCCACCCTATCTGGACCCAGCAGCCTGGTTTCTGTCGGTTCTGGTTCCATGCAGTAGAACAGCATGTAGGTGGAAGTTTCTCAAGCTCTTTGGTCCCAGAGCCTCTTTGAATTCTTAAAAATGATTAAAAAATTCAAAGAGCTTTTGAGTATGTGGGTTATATGTATCAATTTTTACTGAATTAGAAGTTAAAACAGAAATAGAATATTTTTGATAAACCCATCATATGTTAATCTAAATAATATATTTTCATGAAAAGTATGTGAGGGGACGTCAAAAAGTTTATGAAAAAATGCAATTAAGATGTGAGTCGATTTTGGTGTAAAAAAGGATGTGAAATCCAGCATGCACAGTGTTTCATAATGTGCATCTTCCATGAACTTTCTGAGGCCCTCTTGTATTTTCTATAACCAAAAAAAAAAAAGTCAGTGAAAAGAGGGGTGCTATCTTACATATTTGCAAATCATTTTGGAGTCTAGCTTAGTGGAGACAGTTGGATTTTCAGATCTGCTTCGTCAGGCGGTCTGTTGAGATATCACACATCATATAGAATCTAGAAACTCCACCCGACATTCAAGAGAGAATGAGCAGAAAGGCCAAATAGCATCATCCCGTATCATGATAAAAATAGCACACCCTCTTAAGTCTTCTGAAAGTGTCTCAGAGATCTCCAGGGATCCCCAGACCACACCTTGAGAATGGCTGCTTCCAGGGGTCGGAGTGGAAATGATCCAGGAGCCTAGCCCACTCTACAAACCTTCAGAGGTGTGTAGACTAAGACCTCATGAATACCAAGCACCACAATCCAGACAAAGGGCAGCCACCCTTGCCCTCGCCAGACTGAGTGTGAAATATGTGTTTCTCATTGGGGCAGTTGATTTGCATGCCATTGGCCCAGCCATGCACACAGGCCTGGGTACATGGCTGCCATGAGGAAGAGTCCAACTAGAGTCGTTGTCTGAGCATTAAAAGAAGGATTCATATGTTCAAGGGGTTCTTTTGAAGAATGCATGGAGGAATATGCCCTTTCCAAACTTGTGCCATGGGAAAAGAATATAAATCTGAGGCCTATTAGAGAACACTTGTCAACGTGTCTTCAACGTGTCTTCGTATCAGATCAGACAAAGCCCAGCCCACACCCATCCTTGCTGTCTTTGCTTGACCCCCAATCTTGTAGATGAGCAGTTAATTTCTGCCAGAGTGGCACGTGATGCAGGCTTCCCAATCTGTCCAGGCACAAACGGTCATTTTTTACAAAGTACTCAGCAGTCCATTTTAAATAAAGATATTATCTCAGGAAAGTTGTACGTTATTATAGTTATATAAACTTCCCCAGCCACTTGAAAGAAATGAAATATTGATTATTTTTGCAAGAATCTTAATGTAACGCTGCTCTTTTCTTAAATCTAAAATGAGCTTCCTACAGCACAGTAGCTTTCATCTAAGAAGCTCTATAAATGTTAATGCATTATTCCTCACACTAGCCACTTATTCAGTTATTAGATTTCTAAAACTGTGCCCTTCAGGAGAAGAGCTTGAGAGAACAGGGACAATAAAATGGCATTAATTAAAAACACTAACATTTTAAAGCAGCAGGAGCAATAATAAAGTAACATAAAATTGTTCAAGAAGAAAATAATGCCCTTCTCTCAGGCTTTTTCTCGGAATAGGGTAGCCTAAAAGGTTGTTTTATGTCCTGAATCTCAATACCTGGAGGTGGCGGGTACTTGTAGCTTGAAAGAAAGGAGGATTTACAAACAAGAGCCTTCCCAAGGTCACATGATGACTCATCTCCTGACCCCTGCCTCTCTGTAAACCACACCTCACCAGCGCCTGGCACCCAGCACCCAGCACCCAGCACCCAAATGTAAATAAAGCTGATATCTGGTAGCAGAAGCATGCCATCTGCAAGAGTTCCAAGCCTCTGCCACTCTGGATGGCAAGCATCTCTTCCTGCATATGGGGAAACACCACCAGGGAACTGGGCATGATGTCCCCAAGACTGTGCAATAAGCCGGTGCCAGAGAACTAGAGACGGTTTGGAACAGGCTATCTCCACAAGCAGGGACTTGCAGAGACACAACCACACCCATCATGTCTTGAGCTGAGGCAGGCTTGCAGGATAAAGTGGCCTGCACTCAGACATGAACAGAGCCCTTCTCACCTTGTGCTAGGCACAAGCCCCTTTTTTAGGAAAAAGGATGATGTTTATATCCTTCTGGTCTTGGGGCCCAGGGGATAGGAAGCAGTCCTGGGAGGCTTACCTAGGAAGCTCAATTACTGAGCTTAACTGTTATTTATGTGTTGAAGTCCCTAGTGGAGTCCCCAGTCTCCAGGCCTCAGAATGTTAGGGCACCGTGTAGATTCAAGAATCCAGACTTGTGCCCTCAGATGCAGTGCTGTTAGTCTCTACTGGGCCTAGACTGGCCAGGCAAGGACTCTCTGCAGCCCCCACTTTGTTTCTTGGGTCGAGCTTACCCAGGGGCCAGTGGGCCAGTGGGTAGACAGACTGCCTCTCCAGCAGTTCCAGGAAGAGGTAGAAGCCCAGTCACAAGGTGGCAACCAGGAAAGTCAGCCTCTCAGTCTGAGGCTCAAACACACGTGAAATCTTGTGGGAGATGGGGAGACACAGTTTAGACCAAACCATTCAGACCACAAGGTCAGCCTCCCCGGACCTGCTCACCACAGCCTTTCCTGGGCCCCGTGCCCCCCACTCCTGCCAGGCTTCCAGTCAGGGAGCAGCAAAGGGCTGCGTCAAGGACGAAGGGCATCCCACATGTGCCTGCCTTGCTCCACAAAGGGTGGCAGAAAACGTAAGTCAGAACCATGGCCCACAAACCACACAAGTCCCCTGACAACCACAGGGACCTGTGAAGGAGCCAGAGACCAGTATGGCTGAGTGGCTGAGACGCTCAGTGGGTCCCTCGTTGCCCTAAAGCCATGCATGTGCTACTCTCAGTACCCACCCAGCCCTTCACCTCTGACCCTCCTCATCTCGTTCTGCTCCATATGCAAGCTTGTCCCTTGATGGTTCTGCAAAGCCCTTCTCACTCTGACTGCACAGAGTGAGCGCACTGTGTAATGAAGCTCACCGCACAGGCAAGAATGGGCCATTACATGCAGGGAAAAGGGCCTTCTGCTCTACGCTGTGTAGCACTGGGGTCCTGTCCTGGCCATGATATGACTAATTATTTTAAATCATTTATTTCTTTCATGAGAAAACAAGAGACAGGGGCGGAAAAGGGAGAGAAAGAGAGAGGCACCCCCAGCAGGGTCTTCCTGCCACCATCCACCTCCAGCCCCAGCCAGCCCAGACCAAGAGCACGTGCACGCGGGCCAGGCAGTCTCTGGGAGGTTCGAGTGTGATTCCTGCATGTGTTACCATTGTACCGCGCTCTGATCCCCCAAAGGTGACAACTGAAAGCTCTGACCAAGGCCTCAACTCTCTGAGCCAAGGTGCCCCCCTGCAGTGTGATAGGGCAATGCCTGAACAGAGTCCATTCCACGTGTGGCTGTCGATTCTACAAGACAACAGCACAGTGACAGCTGTCCATGTGGGCACTTCTGTGCTACTTAGGACACTAAGAGTCTTACCCACTTCAGCCAGTATGGATACTACAACTACCCGATAGATGGGTACTATCACTACTTCTGTTTTACAAAGAACAAACTAAGGCTCAGGGATTAATTCACATGCTGGGGCACTCTGCTGGTAAGTGGAGGAGCCAGGACTCGAACCCAGGCAGCCAAACTCCAACCTCCACCCGGGGATCCTGAAGCCAGCCTGCCAGCTTGTGGCTAGTGGGGCTTTCTGAACTGGTTCCCTTCCACGCTGTGCTTGTCCGTGCCTGCCACCACCTCCATTCTGTGCTCATAAAGCATGCCCAGTCCCACCGAGGACCATGTGTGGTGTTCCCTTCCCACCCGAGCCCCTCCGGGCTGCGTCCCTCAGCTGCTGGGACGCTCTCTTCTGGCCAGGTACTGGGCCTGGCCTGGGCTAAACAGTTTTCCTTTTACTCCATTCAGGAAAAAGGTAACAGCTGCAAGAAACAGGCTTTTTCTTCGTTGTTGTTTTTAATTCAACTAGCTAAGCCTAGCCCTTGATTAAACAAGAAGTCCTTCAGAAAAATAAAAATAATAATAATAATAAATAAAGGCCCAGCTCCCAGAGCCCTGAGGGAGTTGCTTTGTTCTGAGCAGCAAGATCCTGGGTATCAGGGGAAAGAACAGGACTGAACCTGTCAGCTGAAATGCGCTGAGCTCGGTTCCCACGGTGCCCAGCACAGCAGGCAGCAGCAAGGGCAGCACCAGCCAGGCAGCTCTGCTAGTGCAGGCAGAGGCCTGGCACTGAGGGTGAGCTGGTCTGTGTGCCAGAGGGCTGGGGGGACAGAGAGCAGAGTCCAGAAAAGGGAAGTGGGCCAGAGGAACACAGAGAGGAGTGTTTGACCCCATGCCCGTGTTTCTCTCAGCAGCAGCAGTGACGAGAGCCTCAAGAAGGACGCAGAGCCTTGGAGCAGCCCCTCAGCCCTGGAACTGCAGGGCGGCTGCAGCAGGCGTGCCTCTCCCCCAGAGCTCTGCGTGCTGGGCCACGGGCTGCAGCGGGAGGCCCACTCCAGCCCTGTCCAGGACAAGTCCCAGGCAGAGGCACAGCTGCAGCAGGAGTTGGCCTGACAGGTTGCCCAGGAGGGTCACACTGATACCAGTCACCCCAGGAAGCCAAGCATCCAGGGTGTCCCATGGACAGCAGGCAAACCAAACTCTAGCGAGCTGTCCGGGAAAGGTCTTGAAGGTGCACTGCCATTTTCAGCTCCAGATCCTGATTTGCCTTAATTCGGGGGGAGGGGAGAGCAGTTATTCGCATACTTGATGGCCTCACAACAATGAATGTAATAATATTCTCGAGTTTTGCAGATAAGAAAACCAAGGGGCAGGGTGCAGGGGGGCACGTGTCCTGGCTGAGATCATACAGCAAGAATAGAGCAAAATCGTGTACAGATGTGTCCGGCACTGGCTGTTTTCACTGCGTTTCACTGACGGTGATTATTCCACCCTCCGCTTGCCTACAGCACACACATAGCCGTACAAATGACAGGGAAGCTTTGTTTCTAAGGTTAAGTAGTGGCAACCGCATTAAAGTCCTCCTTAAGAGCACTGTTTGGAAGATAACAGCTCCCAAGAAGAGAAGACTGAAGTGGGATTAAGAAGCAGCTCACTCCCCCCGTCCTCACCACCACCATCTTCTTCCGCCTTTTCTTCCCAAGCTCAGCTCCAATGCTGTAAACCGAAGGCTTCCAGCTCACAGCTGTGGCCATGCTGCCTCTTGGCCTAAGCACGTATCAAATGTTCTTGCCACTGTAGACACCCACACGCTTCTCAGACTCAGAGGCACAACCAAGCCTCCCAAACAAGGCGGTCTGCTCACCGCACCTTGTGGGCGTGCAGCTGAAAAGATGGTGTGGGGAGACACACACACACTCCAGCATGCCCATCTCCTCTGAAGCTTCCTGGCCAACTTTATTCCCGGGTCAGCTGCAGAACTCCTGCTGGAGTTGAAATTAAAGTGAAGAAAGTCAGTCATGCCAAAAACCTGCTTCTGCCAATAAACTAGATATTTGCCTCAGATCTTGGAAGTTTTCCACTGGAGGCTGTGAGTGCTTTCTCTTTTTTTCTTTAAAAGTTTATTCACTTATTTAATTTTATTTATTTATTTATTTTAATTTGACTAGAAAGAGACAGAAACGGAAAGTGAGAAAGCAAGCCACCAGGTCCGGGACTTGAACTGCAGTTGGCCATGTGGGAGTCCAGCGCCTTAACCGCCACACTATCTGTCATCCCCTGTGAGTGCTTTCTATTTAGAAAAGAATCTACAGGAATCAGGTGAATTAATGCCCTCTCAGTGGATTGTTCAAAGACAGGAATTCTCGTCGGCAGCGTGCAGCTACGACACAGTCCTCCAGATCTGCTGCAAAAAAAATTTGTTTTTAATTTGGTGAAATTATAGCCCTTAGATTCTTTTTTATTGAAATGGATCCTGGGCTCAGGAGCCTGTTAAACTGGGTTCTAGGAACTGCAGCCACTTCCCCAGGAATAGACTATGATTCCAAGTAAATGAATCCCCCCTTGGCTGGTCCCGTTATTAAGATGGGGTAACAGGCCTTGTCTCGTCAAAGGCACCCCTCTATTACATACCCCCAGCTGTATGCTCATGTCACTGCACTAATTTCAGAGGAGTGCTCGGGCCACAGCCAGACCAGCCAGTTCAGGCTGAGCCACACCCACAGCTGGCTGTCTACTGGGGAACTGCCCCAGCTCAGGCAGGGGACACACAGCTGCCCAGGCGTGGCTGAGGCTGAGGTAAGTGGATGAGGATGAACCAGGTTCAAAAAACTTGCTTGATACAGATCTGGGCATTCTCTGCAATCGCTGGGCAGGCAGCCTGGGTCACAAGGGGATGGGCCTGCGTGAGCTGCATCCAGCTGAACGGGAGGAGCTGTCTGCAGGAGGCAGACAGTGTGGGCAGCCTTCGAGACCCTGCTCACCTGTGAGATCCAGCTCACAGGGAAGAGGCTTCCAGATGGACTGGTTGGAAAGTGGACCCTGCCCTTGCTAGGGTTTAGAGGCAGGATTCCTGGGAGGTCTGAAGATCGAAGCAAAACGCCAGCTGCAGGGAGACTGGACGGAGACACAGTGCATGAACCCAGGGTACTGTGAAGGGATTGTAACCTCAGGGACACCGTGACACTCTACAAAGCAGAGTCAAATGAGTCACAGCCTGGGCAGACTCTTTGAGGGCCTAATCGGGGAAGTCCAGGGCTGGTTGGTTATGTAGACGGAGGCTGAATGTCCCCGCTGTGGCAATGACAGCTAGCGTGGGCAACTGGGAGCCAGGCAGCATATTAGGACATCATAGAGGGAGGGTTGAGCATCATAGAGAATGTCCGGGAATGGTCTGGAATATATGTGGCCCTCCATGCATGTGCAGGGCAGGCGGTTCTCTGAGACCAGAGGTGCCCCTCCCACAAGCAGCAGCAAATGTCCAGGCCTGCCGTGTTTCAAGCAGCAGAAGAGGGGTACAGAGGCTTCCAGGTTCCTGCCATGGGCCATGAGCAGCCCGTGACACCATCTTGCCCCTCTGGAGGGCCTCTATATCCAATGAGCATCTATTGTGTTGACACAGTGCTATGCTCCTGCTATACATCATGAGAGGCCCAGCTGCCACCAGGAGCTGGTGTAGCCGTGGTGTTAATGGCCCAGTGACCCAAAGGCAATGGAAATTCCAAGTCAGCTCCGTAATCCCCACTGATGGAAAGAGACTGCCAAGGTCAGTGGGCTGGGGGTAGATGGGGGTCAAAGGTAAATAGTGCTGAGCTGGCACAGGAGTGAAGGGGTCAAAGGTTATTTTTGGCTACTATACTACCAAACTTGACTCAGATTACATACTAATTAGGCCTTGTGCAAAAGTATTAAATCCACTACAATGAACTGCTTTTGTGACATGAGCTAGGTTTCACCCCTCCCAGACACCAGGCCCTCTGCAAACCCCTGTGTATGGTTCTGCCCTGAAGAGCACATTGCTGGTGCCCACCAGGGACTAGGCCAGCTCCACAGCTGCTCACCCTTCCCACCCTCATCCCTCTACCCAAGAACCTTGTCCTTTGTGGGCCAAACCCTCTTCCTTTGCTCAGTGAGAGCTCTTTTTTTTTTTTTTTTTTTTTTTTGGGGTTTTTGCTTTAGGGGGGGGGGTCCGCCC